AAAATTTTTTGTTCCAAAACCTATCGTGTGTGGTATCAAATAAAAGGCCTTGCTAAGCCGATTCTAAAAATATATGACATTATTATATTTAAGTCACTTGTATAAAATTAAATATGAAATAATTCTCGAAACATGCCACGTTTGGGCTTCTCCAGGTATGATACGGTTGAATCATTACTTATGAAATATACGTAATATAATGTGTAATATCCTCATCTCTAACCTCAAGAAAGGTACTACGGATTTTTTGTCTTTAAGTAATTTTTTTTGAATTTTAAAGTTACAGAAATTTATGAAAATACACTTTGTTGAAATTTGGCATCGAAATTTCAATTTTGGCTACCGAGAATGATAAAAATAAAGCCAGATGAGATTTTAATTATATGTACATCATATTCGTTTTGCAAAAATAATATGTTATGTGCTTCGGAGGGCACGGTTAACCCTCGGCCTCATCGCAGTCGCTCTCTATGAATAATTAGACGGCGGCGGTCGGTCAGGGTCGATAGATAGGGGCGGAATAGTAACCATGGTTCATCGGGTCGTTCGTAGACTCGGTGTCCCACTTTTCAGAACAAGATTTATTAATTATAAGATGATAAATACAGATGCGAGAGGAGTTTTGGTTCATCTTTATAATTTTCATTTGTCTATACACACATTATTCCCACACCAGCATCCTTACATTTATTCCCAGGGTATCCATCACCTTCATTAGCTATTTGCCAGCAGAAATGTCCCGCCATGCTAAATATTCTTTTCCTTGAGGCCATATGTATATCTCATGTACCTATTTAAGCTGGGCTATTTTTGGTACTCGTGATGGTCTACATCAGGTTTTCAAAACCTTTGATTTCTAATTGCTAGCAGGAGGGCCCAATCAAGCTGAATTATTTTTTCTTCGGGGACGTATATGTATCTCCTGTAGTTCTCCAAACCTTCGATTTATATTTTCCAGCAGACACGTCCCATCGCGCTTAACAATTTTTGCTTTGGGACTATATAATATGTGTCTCCTGTAGTTTAGCTGGGCTCTTGGAGGTGCACCTGGTGGTCCACATAAGGTTCTCCAAACCTTCGATCTATGTTTGCCAGCAGGAGTATGTATTTCCCATTGTTTAGCTAGGCTCGTGGTAGTGCTTCTAGTGGTACACATCAGGTACTCCAGTCCCTCAAGTGGAGAAAAAAAGTAGCCTTTACCTTCTTCAATGCGATAGCAATCTTTGTACCAAAATTTATCAAAATCCGTTCAGTAGTTTTTCAGGATGCTGTCACATACAAACATTGAAACGGAAACAATATGTAAAAACTTTTGAAACGTGTTTTGTTATCAATTTCAAGAATTCGCTGACAATTTATTTTCCAATATCTTTTATGTACAGGCTTTCGACCCTCTTCAACTTTATTATTATGTATAGATTCCGTTAATTTTGCCGGTGTGTATATTATTATAATGTGTGTATAGAGAAATGATCACTTTAACCATCAAACGAAAACTTCTCTCGCATTTGTATTTATCATCCTATTATTAATAAATCTTGTTCTGAAAAGTGGGACACCGAGTCTACGAACGACCCGATGAACCAGGGTTACTATTCAGCCCCTAACTGACGACCCTGACGGACCGCCGCCGTCTTATTATTCATAGAAAGCGACTGCTATGGGGCCGAGGGTTAACCGTGCCCTCCGAAGCACATAACATTCTTTTTGCAAAACGAATATGATGTGATGTACATAATAATATGATTGTAATCTCAACTGGCTATATTTTTATCATTCTCGGTATCCAAAATTGAACTTTCGATGCCAAATTTCAACTAAGTGTGTTTTCATAAATTTCTGTAACTTTAAAATTTAAAAAAATTTACTTTAAGACAAAAAATCCGTAGTACTTTTCTTGAGGTTAGAGATGAGGATATTACACATTATATTACGTATATTTCATAAGTAATGATTCAACCGTATCATACCTGGAGAAGCCCAAACGTGGCATGTTTCGAGAATTATTTCGTATTTAATTTTATACAAGTGACATAAATATAATAATGTTATATATTTTTAGAATCGGCTTAGCAAGGCCTTTCATTTGATACCACACACGATAGGTTTTGGAACAAAAAATTTTTATTTCCCATACAAAAAAAAGATGACGTCATTACTCCTCATAGGATTTTTTTGAAATTGTGTACTACGGGTCAAATCGATTCATTGACCCTAAAGATTAAGTGTACCAAATTTCAGAACTCTTCTCCCAGATGCAGCATGTTTTGAACTACCGCTAGGACTACTTGTAATCTACACTACTTACTTACACTCATGTATTTTGACCTTTAATCTAAGTTATTTCCCGAAATTCTACAATTTTTATTAATTCTTATTTTAATCCTATCGCCAGCCTTGACAAACACGAAATAAAATAACTAATCATTCGTAATAATGGCCTAAAGTAATGGAGTATCATTTGAAAATAACTAAATATCATTACAGGAACTGTGTTGATCCGATAACCATCGGCAAAGAGGTGCCAGGTAGGGTGACCATCATCTCGGACAATTTGGGATTTTCTGATGTAGTAATAGTCATATACAAAATTAGTATCATTGAAAAACTTTCCAGCTCCCTGAAGAATTTGTGGTTTAGGTAGACTTTCCGTGTTAAGGTACGTTAATGTTTACAAACCTAACGGTCTACAGGATTGGATAGGATGTGTGGCTATTTGTCCATTCCTTGGTCTTACGCTGATAACCCACTTGAAAGTTTGTTGATTTGCGGGTCTTTAGTCGACTTTATAACCCGCACAATACACGTAGTTTCTTAAGACATTCAATAATAGTCATTCATTGACTCACACAATGATTTCTTCGGCTTGGTGAAAGGTTAGAGTAGATATTATACAATTATTAGTATTGACCCCAACACCCACACACTATGCCTACCCACATGAAACTTTAAACTTATCTTTGAAAATACTCTAAAAAACCCTATCCCTATGTAAGTATGTGTGAGTAAAACAGAAGAACAGTAGGTATGTTAGCAAGTCTAATGCCAACCTACACTGTGTCACAGAATACATAATAGTACAGGTATCTGTATATGACTGTGTATCAATTTCAGCACTGTATTGTGTGGTCACCCTATAACAAGCCAACCTTTGCGTGACGGTCACTATGCAGCTTTTATTAGCTTGAGGCTGTACAGCTCACATGTTTGTTTTTAGCTTTCAGCTTTATTTCAGGAATTTTCACTTCTTACAGGCCACATTCTACAAAACTTAGAAAGGGTAAAATATAAATGACAAGTTATTAGCATTAGAAGGGCGATATACATGCACGATGTATTCAAATTGAGCACTTGTGGCTCAAAAGCAGGAAAATACAGACGTCGTAACCAAACATCGAATCAAACTTGTCCCAAACTGATCTTGTTCTTATAAACTGGGAACAATGAACAATAGACAACCTTGACCTCATCGACCTCTGTGAGAGATCAGATACCCCGAGCCCGTGTAATCTGTCTGCCATCAACCATAGCCTGAATAGACACCAATGCCTTTGCCAGACAAGACGCAATTTAAAAAGAAAAAGAAAATGCGGGAAACTGGCAGCTCGCTATTGGTGCACTATAAAAATAAAACTCGCGTTCGAACTTCAAAAGCTGGCGCGAGCTTTCAGATAAAATCATAGACATAGATAAAATTATCTCGGTTGCGTCTTGAAGCGAGACGATCCTGCGGACATGCTTAGAACAGGACAGATATAGTTTTGTGGTATTTGTGTGAGTAGGACAAGCGTTGCGCATCTCGGCGGGATGCCAGAGCGGCAACGTCGCGTCCACCAATCGCCGGACGTTATCTTCTTTTGTTTGTTTTTCATTTTCTTTTTATTTGGGGAGTTTTTGGATGCACAAGAATAATGTAGATAACCTTCTGTGAAAATAGCTTTTCCCTTGCTTAGTACCACTTGTTTGCTCATTAGCATTTTATTTCTTAGTTATTTTTCCTTATCAATTTCTAGGAATAGGAAAAAACTAACCCCTTTCCCAAGAATTTCCATTATTTTTTCACGCTCGTGCGTGTAATGGACAACGCAACTGTTACGTTTATCAAGACAGCCAAAAGAAATTATTAATTGAACTGTGGAGAACAAAACGGAAGAAATTAATTATCCACCAACGAAAGGGAAGGGAGATAAGCCAAATAAACAGTTTTCATAAAAGGAAAGCACAAAAAGTGTACAAGGGAATCGCGTGACGGGACCGCGCGCGGAATATGCACGGACGAAATATGAGGATGTACCTACTCTACAGGCTGTCCTTAGTAAGACCAACAAAGATATAAGTATAAACTTTTTGAAGTCTCTACATTTTGGCACAGCAAAATTCATTCAACAAAAATGAATACCTAGAGCTTCGCACAGACCAGTGACGTCATCATGCTTTAAGGTGGATCGTTTTCCATACAAAATTTAAATGGAGTTACGTCTTTAAATGAGACAAAATTATGATTAAAAAACTTGATGGGAAGTCCCGTGCTTTTATAACATTGTCGCAAAATAAAACAAATAATTTTTTAACCATCAGATTTCTCTGTAAAAACCGTGTCGCCACTTAATGAACATAGATGGAGCTACTGCTGCAATAAACACGTTTAATTTTTTTGTGGAGAAAATACTTGATATTTTTTTACGTTAAGCAGTTTTGCGACATATTTACGTGTGCCTTCCTCATCTCACATAAAGATTTTTTGATAAAATTGTTGTTTAGCTCACGTGTAACTCGGTTGAAGTTCAGATTTTAGTTTGTATGACGTAACGATCCCCCTTAAGAAGAAAATTCTTTTTGGGTTTTGGAAATGCAATCCATTATCGAAAGAATGAAAATACTACTGTAATGTTGACTGACCAGGTATTAAAGTTGTAAATACTTTCCACCTTCAGATATCGCTACATCGTCGCTTGGAGACGACCATTAACAGATTGAAAAATTGGCAGGCATCGATCGGTGCATCGATAGCTCATCGGCAGAGTTGTGAGGCGTTGACCCATGCGGCCGGGTTCGAGCCCCGGTCGATGCATGTAATTTTTTGAATTTCTTAGTTTCATTTAAATGAGAATAACACAGCACTGTGAGTGCATTAAAATCCCAATACAATAAAAATTAACTTTTCAGCAGCCCCTGTAGTCAGTCGGTACATTGAGCTAATTAAAATGTGGGTTAACTGTCCATACCCGGCCCACAAGCATATTTCATGCGATAATTCTTTATTTACTTACAGTAAGTATTCTCTGAAATGCTGCAATAGAAATAACTAGGTAACTACGCTTATTGAGAAAAAACCTGATCTGAATGGAGAGGAAAACTTTTTCAGTTGTCGCCAGGTAAGACCATCAATCAAGAGTAGTAAATCAATCACCTGATCGGCGATTTTATATGGGAGGTCAGTTTTTTCATATTTCGACCCATGGGGAAAGATGTTCTGTTTCATGAGTACCTTGACGTCCTTTCGGCTTGTTATACCATTTTACCCCCGGCATAACAAGTACCCTAAAGATACAAAAGATACGCAGACAAGTAAAACATACATATGCCTGCTACCTATAATATAGAAGCTAGTTATTTACGAAGGATGCTATAACATAAGGAGTCTCTCTCGGACCCCTCCAGCGGACCGCGACGCATCTCGCCCGGGGGCAGACGTTGTGCTCGATAATAAAATAACACTAAAATTAGTCCTTTTTGCCTTACCTACTTACTGCTACACTAAGTTTATATAAGATTCACTCAGGATTTTTGCGACTGACACTTGATACTGCAAAATCTGATACAAGAACGTCATATGATTCTGAGCAAGTTTTAATCCAAGAAATTAATAGTTACTTATGACGTTCGTGCCAACTATCTTCTTAGTTACCTACCTAATTTGTGCATATATACCTACTGTTCGTTTGCTGAGAATTGCAATTTGAAATAATCAAATCACTTCTAGAGGGCTGGCTTTAATCCAATCATTAAAGTGTCAAAAGACTGTTTCATTTGGGGGCATCTTTGCTTTGTCTTCCTTAGTCACATTAAATCAGCTGTCTTTCCCATTTCCCATGCACGATCTCCTGTTTCGCCATCTAGTTACTGCCAGCTCCACTCCACCACTTTCTATGAGTCATCGGTCCATCTGGCTGAAGCACGTCCAATGCTATGCTTGCCGAGATGTGCCTTTTCTCGTGATTTTAAACAACCAACTATATAGGGTAAAATTTTACTAGTGACCGATAGCGAAAACTTAGAACGGGCTGGTGATAAGGAACAACTTTTCTCAAGATACATAGGTCGAAACATGAAAAAAAAATTGACCTCCTATAGTACTCAAATCACCTAATCAGCAATTTTTATGTTTTATTTTATTTTGTATGGGAGGTCCAAATTTTATTTCCATATTTCGACCTATGTTCCTTGGGGAAAGTTGTTCCGTATCAGCAGCTGGTTCTGAGTTTTCGCTATCGGTCACTAGTAAAATTTCACCCCATATACCAGGAGTAACAGAAAGGGTATAACAAGCCGAAAGGAGTTCAAGGTACTCATGGAACTGATTAACTTTCTCCATGGAACATGGGTCGAAATATGAAAAAAAAATTGGGCCTCCCATACAAAATCGCCGATCAGCTGATTGACTCCCTGTATATTTGGTTATGTTTGAATTTCGTTTATACGCTTTTTTTCTTTATGTACCTATCTTTAACGAAATAGGTAGATTGTGTAGATTCTAAATTGTTTAGCAACTAAACCAAAATTTACGAGCGCCAGCACGATAAGAAGATAGACAATGCAAAAGACGCCATCGACATTAAACAAGTTAGAACTTGTGCCCCATTAAAAGCCTGTTATTACACTTATTTATTGTCAACTCTGAAGCTAATATATTCCAACGGAAACGAGCACAAGATAAAGACTACGCGTTTCTTCCATCGCTCTAATGACTCTTAGTCCTTTTCACGGCGACCGCAGAATTCCAAATCCATAGCTTCAGGACACAGGTGACTTAGTTGTTTGAAAGAGACTTAAGCAGCATTGGAAGCGAATGTAGAGTTTTCTGTAGTCGTAAATGTTGAGTGAGTATTTCGCATAACCGCCAAGATGCGGGGCCATTAAGTTTTTACCTCCCGTCTCGACAAGTTGGGAGCCACTGGCCCGTGAAGACCGAGGGACATGTATCCTGCCTGCCTTCTCCTAATGAAATAAATTACTTACGACCCACCTTCGAACGGCGATAACAGTCTTTGGAAAGCGCAACGGAAAACCAGCTTAATCACATTCTAGTACGATTGGATTTACGTTGATGACTTGCTGGTATTCTGGGAGGATAAATTCATAACCTTTTACAACCAATACATGGGCACGCACACATGTATCGTCCACATATACGGCTGTCGTGAGAAACTTCTTGTTTGTGAATAAATTATTTGAGAGTAGCCTCAGATACGCTTGGGCCGAGGCATGCTCCAATGATTTTGATTCATTTGAGATAGCTGATGCAAGCAATCTTGGCTGGAGATTGTGGTGTAAGAACTGAGCTGATGAACAAAGGATAAAGATTATGGAGCATTTGCATAAAATATGGAAATATGAAGAGATAATGTGTGTTGAGTAAGAAAATGCCTAGATACTTGAGAGCTAAGACCAAAGAGGCAGTACTTCGATAAGTATTCACTAATAATGAATCATACAATACACATACTTCGTAAGGCAGGGATCATTTTAGGCCACCTCCTAAATCAATGACAGCCAAAAGAACAAAGGAAGCGAACCATATGCAATACGATAAAAAATCTCTTAACTCTATTGTAACGTGACTGTCTTCATTGGGGAGAAGGCAGTGAATATATTTTCTAGAATTTCTAGAATTTATTTTCTTGTTATAGAAATAGAATTCTGTTTCATTTAGGTATGAAGTTTTCAGACAGCAGGCTCACTGAACCCATAATCCACTCTGTTTTGATCATCTTGCACCCGGCCGCCTGTCTGACGTCAACCCTCTTAGGGAATGCTAGTATAGGTGGTAGTGACCACAGTAATGTTGGAAAACTACAGCCAAGGTCAGGAATTCTACTTATATCATACCCGGATAATTCTTGGCAATAAAATCTTTAACACACAAGTTTCTCTGAAATCGGCAATAAAACAATGAAATTAGTCAGCCAGCCATCAACCTCTACCTTTAGGCTCGACCATCCTTGCTAGATATCCATTGCTGGTTTTTCCATCACACATTGTTCAGGGTTGGTGGCAAAACAGCAATGTACAGCAACACATGAGTTTGACTACCTGACATCTATTTAGTATGCGCAGAGGCACTCTGATCTCTCGATACACAGAATCCGCATACAATGGCCACGGGAGAAATCGATGGCTTATTCCGATTGGCAGAAGTGTATGTGGACATCACAAGCCATGTGGTAACTGCCAAGGGTCCGCAACTGGTTACGGAATTATATTCTGGTCCTTAACCAGCGTAAGCTGAACCATGATCTAGCCATGATCAGGTTTGGGGAAGATGGAAGCTTTAAAGGAAAAAGCTCAAAAATGGTCCACTGCTGGACTTGGGCCTGCCCCTATAGAGGGGTATCATGCTCATAATTAATGTGTTGTTACATTTTTAAGGAACGTTCCTTCCTACTTCCTGGATTCATCCCTTGGTCACCTTTTACGACACCCACGGAGCGATGCTTTTATAGTTCGGCACTCTGCGGCACAAAATAGCCCTAAAAATAATTTCCCACGCAAAACCCATTACGTAAATCAACAGCACCTACATCGACGACCTATTAATACCCTCAAACTCTTTAATATTCCTTTCACCTGCGTGTATAGCCGAAACTGAGATGTACAGGAAGTGTATTACTGCGCATGCTCGGAAACAGAGGGCGTTGGCTCCCGACGCGACCGCCATCTTGAATAGGGAGATGACGGGACGCTAAGAAGACGGGACGTGATGGTCATGGCAAACGTTTGGATAGCTTAGGTTTAATATGGATTATTCTCGGGATTGAAACTTCCTTACAAAGGTTTGTAAAAATTTAGTAGGGTATTGAAGACCCGTGTAAAAGGCGACGACCTAGAGCTTTTAACCTTGGCTGAATATCTGTCGACCATGGTCAATCGCATGGTGGCGGTGAATCCTAAAGAGGGTCGAAGTCAAATCCCTTTGCAACATGATTTTAAGAACAAAATGGTACAAAAGATACGATCAAGGTGCAAAATTTCTGCCCCAAATTCTTTTTAGTCCCATGCATCTGAGCTTTGAGCTGTTGAACTCCAGATTAAATAATATTCTCCCCGTCGATGCTCTATTTATTTAATACCATGATAAGATACCGCGTAATACCGAACACTGCTGTTGATATACAGAAATCAATATTTGTACTGAGCAAGATTTATTCCTAACCCGTTCCCAAGCTAAGATGGATAGCTCAGACCAAGGAAATATTTTAAACGGAACCTAATTTACAGAAAGTTCACTCGGCCCTATTCGGATTTTCGCGATTAGCACTTGTTACAGACCAAGGGTTGCTAGTGTAAAAAATCTCGAAGTATAAAAATATCAAAACAGAAAAATCTGATATAGAACGTCATATGATTCTGAGCCAATATCAAATCCAAAAAATGTGCCGTTTGTGTCAACCACCTACTTAGTTACCTTGACTTCCCCTGAGATTCCGGTTATTTCCAGTTAAAGTCAGTAACCGTCAAAATCGTCGCTAGTATTGAGTGAGCCATCTGTAAAGGGGGCCCGCGGGCCGTTTCCCTAATTTGTGACCTAAAAGTACTCAATCCACTTACTCAATCAAGAATCGCCAATCCACCTACTCAACCTAATTGATTTCCTTTCATAATTTCCTCTGAAATTTAGACCTCACCATCCGTCATCCACCGGATTACAGTAAATACCGCATAGATATAAGACACCTTACCATGCAGCTGAATTATAAATTAATTTAATTTTTTCTGCCAAATGGGTCAATTAAAGAAGCTATCAGTGGCTTCACTCTAGTTATCGTTAGAGCAATGTTGTTGTAAGGTCAA